ATTATTTTACACGTGATTTATGTAAATGCTGATGTAACATTTAGAAGTTTACTTTCTACGGCAACAGCAACATCGATGAATGGCAGTTTTTTTCAGTTATACTTTTAGTGTATGTTAATTTTTACGTACCGTAAAAACAGTTTTGTTGTTGGTGTTATTTTTGTTATTTTCTGCCCATCGGTTTCTTCAAATACATACTGCTGAGGTGATGCAGTTGTTATGGAAAGCGACTGGTCTAGAATTTTTTGGACAATAAAAACTAACACGGAGATTTTCCATTGAAAATATTTCACAGTTTTTGTGAACTTCATAAAAAAAGTTTTTTTTTCTTTAGTAACCTATTCTTTTTTCTTTGTTTCCCCGTCTCTCTCGTCTGTTTGATACCTTCAAGTGAGTTAATTATATGATTACCGACTTTATACTTCTTTTTTATATAGCGTGTAAATTCACGACACTTTTGTCTACATTTCAGTCGTTTATTATGCTTGTTACAAAGTACGTTCTAGGCTGAAAAGTTTGAGAAGAGAAAAAATAAGGCTTTATTTCAGATGTTATCATTACTATTTACGGCTATAAAAACTTTACTGCTTAATATATATACTTTAGTAGATTTTTAAATTTCTTCAGGTTTTCGTTCTTTGCCTTTCAATTAACCTACATTCGATTCAAAATTTGGTACTTATTTTATGATCATTCTTTTAAAATTGTGCCAGTCTAGTGCGAAGTGTTGAAGTTTCTTGGTATTAAAGGTAACGAATAGATATTTATGAGAGTTACTCTTTTTCACCTCGTTCAACTGGTTACAAGTTTTTGTTATGGTTAAGGTTTGCGAGAAGTATGTGTGTTTGTTTATGCGTAATCGTAGTCGTTGAATCACTTAGTCGGTCGATTAAATAGACGGTCACTTCCATAAGTGCTGGTATCGGTGTTTCGGTAGTGTACTCAAATGGTTAAAGTTTTTTGTTTGTTTGTTTACTGTAGGGGTTTAGGCGCATCGAGAGGAGGTGGATTTGCGAAAGAAGCAAAGAAAACGTCGTATCGCATGCGAGTAGCCAGTGACAATAGTGAGCTTATTGATTTTTGTGGTGAACGGGAGAATCGTGACTGGGGGAACACGGAGGCGGAAATAATTCCTATGGCTACAAGTAGTAGCCAAACCAGTACTTATATCGATTGGAATAATGCTCCGTAAATCTTTTCAAATTTTTTCTTTATTTAATAATTGGAAGTATTGATTTTTTTTTTTTTTGCTGTCTTCCTTTTCTGTTTTTTTTTCATTTGAAAGGTTATGTTGCCAAGGTCTGGTATCTAGAAACTCATTGGAGGCTAGTTGGTTATATTGAGTGTGGAGGTTTGTGTTTGGCTCTTTATAGACACAGTTTTTCTTTTTACCTCATTCGCTATATTTTTAAGGGGATTTTGTTGTTCCTGTTTACTCGAAAATTTTTTATTTTGAATGTTACTCGCTCTGGACATTCAGTTGCGAAGTAAACTATCATTAGCGGGAAATTTATAGTTATTGCTTTGGCTAGAAGAATTTTTTTGAAATAATTTCACTGAGTGTTGAGTAGCGAAGCTCACTGGGTGGAGGTTATCAAGGTTTTTAAAAGGCTTCCTTTTGTTCCTTCGCTTCAACTAAAACATTTTGCTTGCTTAAACCTGATAATTGGATTGTTTCTTATCAGGTTCTCTGTGGTGATTGTGAAAATTAATCTTCTGGGTTTGAATTTCCTGTTTGTTTGCAAGCAACTTGATTTTCGTGGTTATCTTTTCAAGTAATTCAACTGCTTTTTTTTTGAGGGGTACGTTTTAGTTACCTTTTGCTGTCTTCCAGAGTTGGAGTGTTAGGGCATTGTAACCGTATTACTTTTCCGCATTATTTATTTATTCCGTACGTTAGCTCCACTAATCGAATTCCTTTGCTTACTTGTTTTTATTTTTAGTTTCAGTAACTTTCACTGAATTTAGGAAAATTGGAAACTGTATTTTTTTGCTTTTGAAGGTTTCTTATTGGCTAATGATGTTAAAACTTTTTTAAAGGGGTTTGTAGTTTTTTGAGCTACTGTTATAGTTTTTAGTTAGTGAGGTCTTTAATCATGATGATATTAGGTCTACACAAGAGGTTCCCCGTTTGAAAGGGACCCTTGCATTTCAACTAAAAATAAAAGCTTTTTACTGTTGCTGGAGTGTTTACCCCTTGTAAATTGACTGTTTTTTATTCTCTTGAAACCGTTATCTTTGATTAACTTTCAGCGCAGATGAAGATGGTATGGCAGTAACGAAGTATTCCAGAATGGAAGTCGGTGATGTTGAAGACGGTAATGATAACAAGGAACGATTTGCACGAGAAAATCATAGCGAGATAGAACGCCGCAGGCGAAATAAAATGACCCACTATATAAATGAATTAGCAGAAATGGTACCTCAGTGTGCTGCTTTGGGAAGGAAGCCGGATAAGTTAACAATCCTGCGGATGGCGGTCTCTCACATGAAGGTTATTTTGTTCATTTGATAATGTTTTTCTGTTGCCATCAATTATAACAAACACATGTTTTCTTCAAAAGTATCTGTTGTAACTTAGGGGGTAATTCATATGCTGTTTTAAAAAATAATCTGTGGAAATTTTGAATTTTGCTAAATTTTTCCACGGAATCACTTAGTTGGATATTGCTCTCGTAGATATTGTTCTTCTGTTTTCTTAGCCTAGTAGATTTTATTTCAGACTATTCGTGGGACGCCTATGAATAGTCAAGATGGCTCTTCAAAGCCTTCTTTTCTAACAGACCAAGAATTAAAACATTTGATTCTTGAAGCGGCAAACGGTTTCTTATTTGTTGTTTGCTGTGATACCGGTAGGATATTATACGTTGCCGATTCTGTCGTTCCTGTTCTAAATATGCGACAGGTTCGAATAACATTTTTTGGACTTTCTATAACTATCGTCGTTTTCGTGCTACATTTGGTTATGGCACTCCCAGGCTCTAATTTGCATTTGTAAAATAGTTCTCTTTTCCTTCAGAATTCTAGTTTGTTTATTTTTGGTTACAGGATGACTGGATGCATCAATCAATCTATGACTTAATACATCCAGATGACGTCGAAAAGGTTAAAGATCAACTCCGCGGAAGCGACTCAAGTCTGAGTCGAGTACTTGACTTGAAAACTGGTACTGTAAAGAAAGAACCCGGTTCAGTACGAGTACATATGAGTTGTAGACGAGGGTTCATATGCAGGTAACTTTTTGAGTTTTGGATGCTTTTACAGATCCGGTTAACGCTGACATTTGAGAACGATTTTTTTTTAATAATACTATCCTTAAACCCTCATTGTTAAGGATGCGCCTTGGTCCCTTGGAGCCTCTGCATCGACTTTGCAATCGACGCCCGTTGTTTACCCATAATGGTCAACACTATGTTGTTGTACATTGTACAGGTTATGTTAAGAATTCGCCTCCGAGTTGCTTAGAGGGCTCTTCTAGCTGTTTAGTTGCTATAGCTCGTCTTCAGATAGCCAGTATGCCCGTTGGGACCGAGCTCTCTTCTCCTCCGCAATTTTCATTCCGCTTGACTGAAGATGGGAAAGTATGTCTTCTTTTTAATGACTTTCTCACTGAATTTTTCTTTACAAATACAATTCGCAGTTTTTACTATGAATTTTAGTGATTTTTTTACAAATGAATTGGTTATGGTAGTTACTTTGGGTAATTCTTCTGTCTTGTGACTTGCGGCTTCTTTACAAAAGATTTTACTGTTGACACACTGAACTCTTCAGTTATAAAAGTTAGGTAGTTTTTTCTTACTTTATGATTTCTCAAACTCCAGTTATTTTGAAGTTCTACTTAGTCAGATGCGTTGGAAGTCATTGGGAAATATTGAGGTGTCCGTTGTTGTTGTAAGATTTTGTCTTCCGTAATCTTTTTGGCGCATATCCGAAACCATCTTGGCTTTGACCTCACCCCTTTTGTCTTTACTGTGTGGTCATAGGAATCAGTTGTAGCACACTTTCTTTTTTGCAAGGATCTAAACGAAGTTGAAGGTCCCCACATTGGCGATAAAAGATTTTTTTTGTAAGTTCTAATATTTAATATGTAATAACCACTACTGCACTTACCACTGAGGGAGAGAAATTTCTGCTTAGAGGTTTACAGCTGACATTCAAGTGAAGAGTCGGTACTATCAGGGAATTAGTCAGAAAATTTGGATTAATTGGTTATTTATTGAAAGTGTTGTGCTGGCAACAGCTAATAATTTTCCGCTAAAATAGGTTTAATTTCCGCTTCCAGATTTTATAGATTTACCCAACTGCCTAGATTTGCTTCAAGTTGAACCGAGCTAGTTTTATTACATGAAAAGCAGCTGCATCCGCATAATTCTGTGCATTTACTGGAACTCAACTGTTGTGCATCCAGCGTGTTTAATTTGCTCCGTAAATTTATTAGTTCATGTACCTGAAGCAATTTCGAACCCGTTATAGTGCCCATATAATTCAAGCGTCTTTCTTTGGTTGCTTCCCAAGCTGTGTTTCACGGTTTGGGTAGTGTGTTTGCCAACACAACTTTTAATGCGATGAGAAGTTTTTGTTTGTCCGGTGTTTCCAGTAATACATGTTTTTATCTTATAAGCTGCTCCGCTTACTGCATTTGAAGGAAGGAGAAAGGGGAGCAATGGCCGACAAAGAATTATTATGTGAGGTGACAACAGAATATTGAGTATTAGAGATGAGATGGTGAAGAACACAGTTGTCGTCTTGTTTCAAAACCGCCGTAATTAAGGAGCAGGTAAACGAGGACAAATTAAAAAGGGGAAGGATTTGGGTATGGGATGTTCACCATTTTCTCTGGGGTACGGCTACAGTACCGTACATTTGAGGAACAAAGATAGAGCTTACTTCTTAGGCTTCTTGATGTTCTAAGGTTTAGCCTCGAAAATGTTCGGCGGTTATAGAGGTTGATGGCAATTTAGATTTAACCGGTACCACTTGTTAATTCTTCCTGTGTAAGTGAGAAATGAGGCTATAAAAAATTTTATTTGTGCAAAAAAATGTGCTTCGCAGTTATATGTTGATTCCTCTTCAGTTTAAGACTGCTTTTTCGATCCCATCGAGTATTATATTCAACCAGTGGTAGCGTAAGTCAGTTTAGGAGGCATAAACTGAGTCCCGCACTAACGCTATTCTTGTATTATTTTTTCCATTTACTTGTATTGCTTTACATAAGTCGTAATATGGATCTTTTTTTTAAATTTGAAGTTAGTTTAGATCGCATTTGTTGAACAGAGAGCCGTGAGCCTATTATCTATATCGGCAGAACAGTTGTTAGGCCGTTACTGGTGGCAGACAGTCCATCCTGCTGATGAACAAACTTTACATGATGCCTTCGTGAATATTTTAAGGGTTAGTTATTCGATGCATGTACATTCATTTGTAAAAACTCAGAAACTAACAGGTTTTCTGTTACTATTATTTCTTTCTCTTCAGAAATTTAACTAAATTTTTAGGACCAACCCGTACGCATTTCCATTCGTTTGCGCACCTCAACAGATTTTGTTGCTTGTTCCGTTTCTGCCTTGAAATTTGTAAACCCCTATTCTGAACAGTTCGAGTATGTCGTTGCCACTCACGTCCTTTTGCCAAACGAAGATGAGTCATGGCAAACTCAACCATTGGTAAATTATTTCATTTTCCAAATACAGTGGCCTTTGTTGGTAATGTCATCAAGCCCGAGACAGCTTGCTGTACTGAAAATCATCTTTGTGACTCCACTAAAAATCCCAGAAATCTCCCTCGTATTGAGAATATTTTGCTTCTGCGGTAAAAAATTTTTCATTATTCTGCAGTTTTGCTAAAAAAGCAGTGTTCTATAGGTGTTTCAACCACCCGCTCATGCTCCTGAGTTTGAGGCGGCGCCAATAGGGGAATGGTCTGCGACACCTAACTTTCAGTCTGAAGGCTCAATACCGTTAGCAAGAAGGTCGGGACCATGGCCAAATCAATGGAATTCCCCTGACCAGTTTCCCCAGCGATAATACGTGTCCTTTTTACGAGCTCTCCTCCTGCCTAATAATTGTATAATAAAAAATTCCAACGTTTATTCGTCTCTGGTGTCTTAGAAATGTGTAGTTATTACTACACTGCCGTTAGCATGAAACACGTGGTCTACACCTCTTGCTTTTGTAAAACACAGATATGGACTTAGGTCCAAGAGTTGCGTCCTTTACACTTTTTCACAGTTTCTGCAAAAACTTATTTGGAGTCAGGTAAATTTTAGGTTTAACAAGGTTTAACAAATAGTTGAGTACTTCACTTCTGTAGGTTGACCATGTTTTATACAAAAAACAACAGGAACTTTTTTATCGCATCTACAGTGTAAAGTGATTAATTCAACAGCCCTGAGCACGGCCGTGAAATATAAAAAAATTGGGAGCTTTCTAAGGCTAGTCTCAACTTAGAAGTCTTAGAAGAGCGGTTGTAATGCCATGAGCAAATAGCAAATGAGAACTTCCCTTCAACTCTAAACTATTCCGAATAAAGGCTACTTTCCAAAAATGTGACTGGTGAGGTTCTGAAGTTAGATGGAGCGTAAGCATTAGCTTTACACGTCAAAAAAAAAA